TTTATTTTATGTATGTCACTGTTACAAATTCTCCCATTCGTTCTGAGCTAAAGGCAAGCATTTGCTATACTTTCCATTTGTCCAGCATTTTCTTAGGTCTTATCACCACTTATACAACAGATTGATACAATTCCATCTTGGATCATCCTTATTAAGTGGTGATACATCCTCCCATCACCGACCACTGATATCTTCGTTAACAAATCTAATTACTCACAGGTCAGTCCCAGGTTGTACTAATATCAGTGAGAGCTCTACTGAGATAAATCACTTTTGATAAAGTCATGTTTATTGTTATCTGGGACAGAAGAAAAGAAGAAAGAGAGAGAGTGTTGTGGTTTAACATGGAAGGTGGTTTGGTACCACAGAGTCATTTGCTCACTCCTCCCTTTTCCCTTGAAGGAAAAGACCCTTCAAATGTCAGAAGTTATAAACCTTAACAAAATCTTCCCCAAAACAAATACTATATCAAAATATCTATATTCAGCATTCTTCATAGTTTACCTAAAGTCAAGAAAAAAATATTTACAAATCTCATTTATGTTTATCACCAGTAAGTGGATTTGTGTTTTCTTTCATAGTACCATTTATCTGATGAGCTATCCATTTTTCAGTGTATTTTGCATTCAGATAAGTCACATGTAGTAATGTCTACCTCCAACAGATATTAACCTTAAAGGAAATTTTGTACAAATAAAGTGGAATAACATAGATAACAAGAAACTACCAACCTGCAGAACAACATTATTCAGGCTTGACTAAGCTTCAAATCATGCTTCAAGGTGAAGGCTTCCAGGTTTTTCTGCTTTACAATTATAACTTTAATATTGGATTTCTCCTCCATACATCCTCCCCTATCTCAAATGGGCAAGGTCTTGTGAAGACATACAAAATTAATCTTGACATTTTTCTGAGATTTACATTGGAAAAGAGACACAAAACAGAGCCCTGCCCTAGAGCTCTCAAATATCCCATTTTTCATTTTTTGCTCACTATGTGCTACCCAGTGGAATTTTGTGTTTCTCAATTTAGACAACATAATGGACTTACAGTGAAGAGAAGACTACCAGTTATTACTTATGAATGAATATATCTTGGCAGTATGCACACTCCAAATAACAGCAGTAATATGTGGGCCCTGAGAAGGCAAGAACCATGAACATTCATTCTTGTAGGGAAGGAAACCTCTCCATACACAGAAGTAATGGTGTTTGAATTTATTCGGTAATTTATTATGAAGAGAAAGTCAGCAAGTTTCAGATTTTCACACAAAAGCACAAGGTAGAAATATATTTACAAAAGCAAGAAACAAACAACAACAAAAAATTAGTTTTAGATAACTAAGATATTTAATTTGTTCACAAGAGCAACACCCAAGGGAAATCCTTGTTTCAATTCCCAATTGAAATTTTGTGTTTTTCCCTACTGTCTTTAAAGAGCAGTTGCTATTGTTGAACCAGCAAAGACAGACAGAATGCTGATCAAACTGGAAGGAAAACAGCATTTTCCTTGGCTGCTTGTAGACTTTTTTTCTTCTGTACCACAGCACTGGCAGCCCAGACAGCATGTGGGCAAACAGGCTGCAGGGCCCTGACGGCCCACAAGCCCTGCCCAAGCAATGGCAGCTTCGTCAGCCCCTGTGGGTGTTTGTTTTTAACACAGGCAAATGCAATGCATTGCCATGAAATGAGTAGCTGGAGGAGAAAGGGGGCAATGAACAGAATTATGGGCCAGTTCAGTATCTGACCTTCAGCTATCCATCAGGATGGCATGTGAACCCAGCGTGGACCTCAGGGCAGTCATAGAAAAGCTGGAGAGGGACTTTTTATAAGGGCACATAGTGACAGAACAAGGGGAAATGGTTTCAGACTGAAAGACGGTAGAATCAGACTAGATGTTCTTTAAAGAAATTCTTTATTGGATGTTCTTTAAAGAAGAAATTCTTTACTGTGAGGATGGTGAGACACTGGTTGATCAGCAAGGTTGTGGATGCCCCCTCCTTGGAGGCAGTCAAAGCCTGGGACTTTGAGGAATCTGGTCTAGTGGGATTTGGGTGTCCCTGCCAATAGCAGGGGGGTTGGAACTAGATTATCTTCAACGTCCCTTCCAATTAAACCATTCTATGATTCTATCATAGGCTGTCCGCGTGTGCTCTGGCAGGTTTTAGCTTGGGGTCCTGCCTGAGTGATTTTGGTTTTTTTTCCCTTGTGGCTATTGCTTAAGAGTAAAATGCTGAGGAGCAGTTAGGCTGCTGGGCAGCACTGCATTTGGACAGGAATTGTGTAATATGTTTCATGCTTTTGGTCTCCCACAGACATTTAGCAACCACCTTGATTTTAGTATCACTTCAAAGAGGCCTAGTGATTCGCCTGGGCAAAAGTGAGTTGCTGTGATACAGTTTCGGTTTGGGGAGGGGCATGACGCTGTTAGGTCGTTAATGTCTTACCAGCACAGGGTGAGTATGGTAGCAGCAGCACAACTGCTGCTGTTCTCCAACTCCACCTTTCCCTGGGAAGTAGCCTCATTTATGACACTGTTCTGCAATGATGCTGTTTCTTTGTGCAGCAAAACTACTTAGATGACCAAATCCTCAGATGCCAAGCAGTTTTGCACTACCGTGCTTAATTTTATAATTAGGTAAGCCCAAAGAAGCCTCATAATATTTTTAATAATTTTATAATTAGTATGACTGTCTCCATCTCATTGACTAAGTAGGCTTGCAAGCCTGCTTCTTAAGTACGCATTAATTTTATACTCAGCTATGTGATAGCTATTTGTCTTCACTTAGTTAGGCTTAGAAGTTTATTGAGCCAGACCATTTCAGTAATGCTTTAGTAATTTGAAGAGGTATCTCAATTGAATTGAATGGTATGCCCCCATTATGCACTACTACACCTCTATGTACAGCCTTGGCTAAACCATCACAGATACACCTCTATCGCCTTTGAGTATCTGAAAAGGAGTTTTGCATGAACTGGAGTGGAAGGGGCATATCTCAGACCACATGCTGAAGTCCGAAGCACATTTAGGTGGATTGGCCTTCTTGTATGTGGCCAGGTCACAAGTATCTCACAGTGGGCTACTTGGGCCAGCTGCTTGGGAGAGAACAGAGTTATGCCCAAGGATTGCAGAGATGGCAGCAGGCATCTATTTCACAGCAGCCTGCTTGTTTTGTGAGCTGTTGTGAAATAAGTGCTGAATTCTGATGTCACAGTGGAAATGATGAGTAACAGGTTAAAGAAACATATTGCATTGCAGAGATAATGGGATTATTCACAGAAGTGGTGTGAAGTTACTTAGAACTTCTAACAGAACCCTAGCTGTTCTTTCCCTCTAGGAATGCTGTTTCAACAGCTGAGGTCAAATGTCTTATTTGTAAACAAATGTAAGAGAAAAAGAAAAAAAAAAAAACTTTTTTCTTTGCTTGACTCACTGCTTGATTTTATTAGCCTGTTCTCATCTTAATATTAGCTTTTAGCTGTTATGTGGAATTAGAGAGTATCTAATGTGGGTGTATATCTTGGCTAGATAAAATATTCTGCTGGCCCACTTAAAATATAGGTACTTTAAAAAGCCAACTATAGGAAACAACTGCATGACTAAAGGTGGATAGGCATGGCGTGTCGTAAAAGCTAGTGAGTCTCAACTTACGGATCTCATAGACTTTTTATCTGTCTTTCACAAGGTATTTGATCTGAACTGATGTATTTATGACAAGTTTCATAAATATTTGTCCATGCAGCACAGAATTCCCCAGAGCTACAAAAGAGACACCGAGGGTGGCAAAAAGCAGTGTTTTCTCTAACAGCAAAAACACAAAATTATCACGTGGAACTTCTTGTTTCTGCTTGTGTGTGTGACTGATGTGGTGATTTGGTGTAACATCTTTTCCAGGGAACACAAAAGAAGCATAATGAGGTTTATATACAAAAGGACTTTCTGTTGTTGGATTTTGGATTGGGTTTTTGTTGTTGTTGTTGTTGTTTTCCCTGTTATAGGCAAGACTGCTTCTGATTCTTTTCATTTTCTTTTGTTTTCTAAGTGTTTTTGGTAAAGGCTTCCTAAGTAGGGTGCAACCTGTAGTCAGCCCCCACAGTACATCTTAGCTGCTTTCTGTGGTGCCAGAAGGACAAATATATTCCACATTCTAATATCATTCAAACTCTGTCATTCTGAAGTGCAGTGGTTCACCAAAGTGAGAGGGGAAAGATCATAATGCACTGAAGCAATGTCTCTGTGGGAAGGAGAAAAGGTGCAGAAGGAAATCCACTCACTTCTAAGCTGGGGATGAGGAAAAGTTCAGCTCAATCTTAGTCTGCCCTTCACAGGGGAAAACTGGCCTGGTGTGGTGCTGATTAGGAAAAATTAGGATGAGATAAAGGCAGTGAGGAAGTTTCACTATTTTCCATTCTTCTGTAGGAAGAAGCACTTCAGCACTCTTAAGATGTTTCTTTATTCAGAGGTTTTTTTATTAACTCAGAGAAAATACGTATATCCCTGGGTGTTCCAAGTGACTGAACAGAAGGGTGAAATTTCCCAACTTCAGTAAACAGCTTGCTTCAGCTGTGCTGGAAAAAAACAGCAGCTCTGCTGCTGCTGCTTGTTTTCTGGTTCTCTGTTACAAAGGATAAGAATCTACATGCTGTTTCTGAAAATGCATTTATAAAAGCCTTAACGCCGTGGCTGCTATTCAATACGGATTCGCATCTGAACTCTTCACCCCAAAAGTCTCCAGAGATTATCAGTTTCTCATCATTCACTTGTCCAGATTACAGTTTGAAGCGTGTAATTGGGTTTTACTGTGGAGCTGTGATTAGGACTAAGAAGACAGCTCTGTGTGATTTATGTGAAAAGCATGTTAGTGGCTTACAATACAAAGGGGGATAGAGGAGGATGTTACATCAACTCTGAGTCCCACAGTGTACTTAAAAGGAAACTGAGAAAACGCTGAGGCCAAAGTCTAGCTGTACAAAGTTGGAAAGTAATCATTTTGGGTTAGACTTGTTTAACTGCGCTTAGATGGGAAAAGAGAAACCGATTATGAAGGAAATTCTCATCACAATACCTAGTAGAAATGGATTATAAATGAAAATTCAGATCAGCAGGTAACATTTTCCATCTGCTGCACGGCTCAGTTTCTTCCCATCTTTCCTCCAGGAAAATGTTCGTCTGCCCTTTTCTCTAGCTGGACAGATGTTCTTTTGTCCTGCACAGATAAAGTATTTCTGACAGGCAGGCTTCCTCCTCAGATGGTAACGCTTGCATCTGAAAGGAGACAAGTAAGCACGCACCTAAGTGCTTTTCTTTGACGATAAGGGTCAAACGTTTGAAATACCACAACTCCACAGCGCTATTCTGAAGCGTACTTTAAATTTCTGGCCCCGACCGCGCTTCCAGCTGAGGTGGGAGGGAGCGGGATGCCAGGGGAATGAGTTCTTTCTGCCGCTGGCATGTGGGCTCCGCGTGTGACGTGACCGCCGGCAGGCTCAGGCACCGTGGGGTTTTTCCACCCCTTTTTGCGGGGGTGCGGCGCAGAGGAGGCGGGCGCGGAGGTCTGGGCAGGGCAGGGCGGCGGGAGCCGGCCCGGCTGGCGGCCAGCATGGGGGCCGGGGCGCTGGCCATCCGCGTGAGTAGGGCGGGGAGCGGCCGGGCTGCGGCGGGAGGGAAGCGGCGGCGGGTCCGCGTGGAGACGGGAAGGGAGAGGGCGGCCTGGGCCCTGCCTGCAGCGCCTCGCCCCCGGCGCTCGGCTCCCGCGTCTCTCCGAGGCGCTGTTTAAGGAAAGCAAAGATGGATAAAGGCCGCTCCGGGCTTTTTTTATTTTTGTTTTTGCACTTGCACAGCCCATACCCGGGGCCTGTGTGCGCGTTCCTGCCCTGCAGGGCAGCCCTCCCGCCGCTGTGTCGTGCAGTTAACTCAAACTTTGGAAGTGCAAGCCGTGCGTTGTCCCTTTAATCTTCCTTGGAAGCATCTATTTTATAAAGAAATCGGTGAAAAGCGATGTTTTAACGAGTCGTTTCAACCTTCAGTCGCGCACGTGCTGCTTGCTGCGAGGATTAACGAGGCGCTGGCAGGAATGCTGGCTTTGTTTATTTATTGTAGAGCTGTTTGGCAAATAATGACATGGATTCACGACATTTATGTTAGTGACACGTTTCACAAAGATAAGATGGGTACCTGGGGCCTGAGAACACCCTATCCGTGTTCAGTGGGAAAGGCACAGCAGACAGCAAGCAGTGAGCAATGAGTTTGTGTTAGAGCTGTAGGACAGGCTCAGAGGCAGCCCTGATGCAGACGTTAGGTTTCATTACAGTCAGTGTACGGCTTTCAGAGCTTTCAAGCACTTGTTTTTCAAAGAAGCAGCGTGCCTCTACCTGGTCAAGTGCCAAGACCAGAATCCGACCAGTTCTTTGTGATATGTACAGAGAATGCTGTAAATTTCAGTAAGGCTTCTACTACCTCTTCATTAATAAGACACTGTAGGAAGAAACTGATTTTAAGTGTCAGGCTTGTGGCGGCCTTCTTAAACAAAGAGACTGGACTCTATGGTATCAGTGACCTACAGTTCCAGCAGTGTGATGCCATAAACATGAGGATTTCTGCTTGTCTGCATTAGTGAAATGATGCTTAGGTGTATACAGAGGTGGTACCTGTGGTGGGCTTTGCTGCTGCTCTTGGGAGGTCTTTCCAAACCGTAGCACTGTATGCATATTTAGATTTCTGTGTTGCGAAAGCAATCCTGAATTATGTTGTTCCCTCGGGACTTGATGTGTTCTCATGTTCTCTCTGCCACTGCAACTCAAAACTTGTGAGAATGTCTTCCAGATGTATGTCATGCCTTCAGAAGAAACTGTGGGATGTATGAAGTTAAGGCTTTATTGTGATCTGACATTTTCCCCTAATATTACATGTGATTGGATTACCTAGTTCTTTTCTAACCTTGAAATCTCTGTAATTAGATTTCAGACTTATCAGATACTGAACGTCATAAAATCTTCCATAAGGGTCCATCTCACATCTCTGACAGTGGCCAAAACGAATCTTTAGGAAACACCATTTGGAAGAAAGATACAGTGAACCTGAGTATGCTCAGAGACTGACAGGTGTCCTGGAGACATCCCAAACTGGTTGTAGTGTACTGGGATTTTTTATGTGTGTGTTTGTCCTGTTGCTTTTATAACCAACGTGAACTGTGTGAGTTACAAAAGCAGTCTCTTGTGAGTCCCAGTTCCTTGTTATTCTAGTAACATACTTCCATGTAAGTGTGCCTTTCTCCCTTATCTTAACTACAGACTACTACTGCTCTTTGTGTTAGTTACTCTTGTCTTCAGTAGTTTTTTTGTTATTGTTGTTTCCCACTTTACAGGGATTTTCCTGTCAGTTAAAAGAAAGTAAGACCAAAAACTTATTCTGGAGCATAAAAGCCAGTTTTGATTGATGCAGTCATGTTGCAACTGTGCAACATTTTGTAGCAAATGTGATTAATGCTTCTTTTTCCTATGCCTCTTTAAGCAAAGCAAGTCAGCTGTGAGATTGAAGGAAGACATGAAAAAGATAGCCTCACTTCCACTGAACAAGCAGAAGGATGCAACCCGTCCAAAGGTGTTTGGTGTGAGTCTTCTGGAGCTCCAGCAGCACGGACTGAGCAAGAATGGCATTCCAATAGTTGTGTGGAATATAGTTGAGTACCTGACCCAACATGGTAAGCTGAAGGAAATCACTTTTGCATAGTAACATGTTTTACCGTGAAGATCTCCAAAAGGAGAAGCTTTTTTGTGACACAGAGGAGGAATAAGGTGTTGGTGCTAACCACTTGCAGAGAACATTATTGTTGCTTCTTTTTTTCCTTCTGCTCAGTATGCTAATTAATAGGATGTTTATAAACTACAGCATTATGGAGCAGCACATGCTCATTGATAAGCTTTCAGTTTTATCAGTTGAATGTATTTCATTTTGAAGCTTTGTGTAATTTTCTAGTTGCAAAACAGATGACTTCTCTCACTTTGTGGTAGTGAGAAGATGTAAGTATCTATAGTTATATTCATGTGCACGTACACACCCATGAGAGTACATTGTTGAATACATGTTCTCACAGATTTTCAGTTAGATTTCAGTTATTATTTATCTCCTCAGGGAGTTAGATATCCAATTCTCAGCTTTTCTTTGCATTCATTTAATGAAATTTTAGTCTCCATTAAGGAAATTAATCTCTTTGCAGAAAACTAGAATAGCATTGGTGCACAGATGTATCTTGTGCAGGTATTCAGCGTTGGAAAAGATTTTGTGGAGGTAACTTCATCTTGTAAGAAGCTACATCAGTTTTTACCATCAGTTCTCTGTTCTAGCTGCTCATTTAGCTGTGTAATGATAATCCCATTACAGAGTTTTAAGATACTGTGTTTTTATCTTGATGGACTCATGGAAGCTGTTAGATGCAAACACAGCTTGAAAGTTACCTTAGATTAAATGAAAATTTGAAACATAATCGTACCTTTATTCCATAGCAGTACCTTGCTTGATCTATTTCAACTTGCTTTAAAGCAATCTGCTAGAACAGTGAAAGAGCGAGGAGGGGAAAATGCCTTCAGTCACTTAGCTTTAATCAAAACCAGAAGTTGACGAACCCTCTTGATTGCAAGCTGTGGGCTGTACTCTGTGTTCCATAAAAAGATTGCATCCCACTCAAGCATTTTCCAAATATGAACAAAACAAGCCAGATCTTCTATCTGCAGCAAAATTAGCTGGGCTTCTAAATGCCGAGGTGATTATCCAGCCTTGATAAACATATAATCCACTCTCTTTCTTGAGAAGGATGTCAGAGATGCCCTCTTGGGAATATTTTGAAAGGAGTGTTCTGTGCTTGCCTACAGTTTGTTTTGTGAATTAACGGGGAAGTTAACCATGATAATGTTTTTAACAGAGCCCTACATATGAACTCAAACTATTTGCAAGGACAGTGTTCTGTGAACCATGTTTGCTGTTTGTTCAGCATTGTCTCCTGTTCTGCACAGATGCAGAGACATTGTAGGACTTTTTAAAGTCAGGCCATTTCAGAGTCTCCTTGTTCATGGGCAACAGATTTTACCCGTTTGAAAAAACTGAGCCAACTTTTAGGTAGCTGCATTCCTCAACTAAGTTTGTGGTAAGCTACTAATTTTCAAATTTGTAGGTGAAGCCAAGTTTTCCTATGCTGAATTTGGAAATATCTGATTACTGTTCCCAGTAGGTTCTAGCCTCTCTTTATTTTCATAGGAAGTTTTATCTGCATGGCCGCTCTGCTCTGTTTGTTCGATCTGTGCTGCAGGAATGAGTGACTGAGATGTGGTGTTTTCTGTCCCCCCCCAGATGGCAGTATAGCATTTTGTATGTGTTTTCTTGTAGCTGCAGGAATACAGGGTCTGTAAGCGGTATCTTACATTAGTCGAGTAAAATGCTTCAGTATTTAAATGTTTCCATTTTTTTCTTACTAGATCAGTTTGTTTCTTGGTCCGATTAAAGGCATTACTTCTTTCTACAAACTCTGCTGTATCAGTATTGACTTCTTGGACTGGAAATGTTCTGTCAGACTCCTGCTTAGTAATGACCACTTCTGAACTAAGGAAAACCATACATCGTATATTTTGATCCTCTTAGTGTTCTGCTTCTAAAGAAGAATAAGCAGGCCTATGCACACTGCCGAGGATCAGAAGAAAGCGGAAAACACTTCCTGTTTTATGATGAAAGTGTTTTAGCAAAAAATGAATTTTTCCTCAGTTCAACTTTAGGCACTTGTTTTCCTTGTTTGACTCTCAGCATCTGCCTAGAAAGTGATACAGTATGATTCATCTGGCTTTCTCTGTGGAAACCTTCACTGGGTGTGGGTTGTCTGGCCTGAAGTGATGGATACTTTTATTTTTCATTGTGAAATCTTTAGGCTTCATGCAATTAAAAATACACGCTTGCTTTCAGAGATTTTCTTCTAAAATGAATTTGCAGTGATTATTATAGAGTTACTGCTGCAAGCAGCATGTATTCAGCTGTTTTTGCTTCATGATGATCACAGGTAAGGCTGCCCTAAAAAGCAAAGCTGGAAATACTCGTGTGAGTAGTGTCATGCCTTGGCAGAGTCACTAAAGCTAAAGGGCTACTTGCAAAGTTGAAATAACACAGCTGTTTGGTCGAGTCTGATTCCTTTTCAACAGAAGTGTACTGATGCAAAATTCAGCCATCTCAATTGGTTTCTGCTTGGTATGAAGTACATAAGTCACTCTGAATGGAATGCCTCCTGTATATTTCCTTGGAAACTACAACAGAGGCAAAGAGCACAGTAATACTGTTTGATAGAGCAAATTCTCAACCATGAAACACCATTTCTCAACAGAGTCACAACCAATAGCTATGCTTTTTCACCAGCAATTAACAAGAGCCAGCATACTACACAAGTAAAAAATCTGCACCAGCAGAGCTGACCCACTATCACTGTGGCCACTGCTGAAGCACACCACCCACTGCCTCACTGTGCTCACATCCACTGTTTAGGCTCCATAAATGTTCAAAAAGCATTAATGAATGTCAGTGGGTGCCATTTTTTCTGCATGGAGGAATTTAGTTATGCACTTTTGCTTCATATGCATTTCCATGTCAGATACCATTTTGTCAGACTGCCCCTCTGCTGCCAGCTGTCACACAGCAACAAAATGTAATGGGGATATTGGTGGGAAGGTTCAGCCACTGATGCCTCTTCTACCAACATCTGTCTCTTGACACTGTGGGCCAACACAGTTGAGTAAAATAGGAGTATTTTACACAGAGTAAAATAGGAGGCATTACTGCTGGAACAGCCTTCGTATCTTATAGGTTACAGCAATGCCATTGGGTTCTGTGGATTTTTATAGAGTATCCCAAGCCTAAAGATTAGGTCATTAGTAGTTGTTAATTATCTGAACCCAATTACTTGACTAGCAGGGTTTCTAGGGGAAAGTAGTATCTTTTCAATCCTCATTGTATTGATTGTCCTTTGTATTAATGTTATTGTATTATTCGCACTTGAATGTCTGTTTCATCATATCTGTGGTGTATCTTAGTTCAGATCAACCTCATGTGTAACATATAATTACAGGTATGACCCAGGAAGGCCTTTTCAGGGTAAATGGAAGCATGAAAACAGTGGAACAGCTGCGTCTGCAATATGAACGTGGAGAAGAGGTGGAACTTGTTAAAGATGGCGATGTGTACTCAGCAGCCAGTCTTTTGAAATTGTTTCTGAGAGAGCTGCCAGATGGGATTATCACCTCTGCCTTACAATCCAAGCTCATTCAGCTTTACCAAGGTAAGTGAGAGGTGAAAGTCTCCATCCTTCTATGTGCTTTTCTGCAGGAGAATTATATACAGGCAGCATAAGCAGTGCTCTTTCTTAACTTACATACTTTGTTCCACAGTTCCTTTGACTCCAGCTCTCACCTGCTCACAGAGTGCATTCTGATAGAAATTCTGAATCTCGTCATCTTCCGTGTTTGGTGAAATCTGAACTATTTATGCTTTTCTAATCTGATTATATCTGCTAAATAGGAGCTGAAATGATTGGTTGGTTGGTTGTAAGAAGCTTGGAGACAATAACTGCAATAGTCTCTCTAGGACACGGATTGCTTCTGTTCAGCTAGAGAGATTATTGGCAATTTCTCTTTCTAATGGGCTCTGAAAAGTTCTAACAACTTCATCTGCTGATCATACTTAGTATCCACTGAGTCCCAAAGCATGTGTGTCTAAATTTCCACTTCTCACTAAGTGATGTAATTGCCCATCAAACACAAGTCAGTTTGCAATTAGAACGGACTTTACCCTTTAATCCCGCTCATGGCATACAACCTGGAAGATTTCTGTTATTTTAATTTTTTTTCCCTTCAAGAGGATAACCTGCTTTAGAAAGTTGTAACTTGCACAACTGTCTGTCTGATGATTTGTTGAACGAATCTATCTATATTGAGCAGTCCAGACTGCTGCTATGCAGACTAGGCGGTCTGTTCCTGGACCATCTGGGTCAGTGGAAGTTCTTTTGCTGCAGGCAGTTGATGCCTCTCACTCTCTTCCTGAGAAGCTGCAAAGTGCGTGGGTACGTATTGCTGGAGAAATGCTCTTTACTGTAAAACAGACCAATATGATGTGTGTGGAGGAAGAATGTGCTGACAAATGTCTTCAGTGGAAGACAGCACGAAGTTTTCACACTGCTGTCCTTGGGTCTCTCTCCCACTTTTTTTGCCTGCAGTAGAAATGAAGCTTAGCTGTTGCCTGGAGCAGGGAGGACACAACCATGTCTTTTCTCCCTTTATTGTTTGGGACTGTACAGACTATTGAGGGTGCACTGAAGAACTTTCTGTCTTTCCTGAGCGCAGTCATTAAAGCTATAATAAGGTCATATGCGGGCTGTGGGGGGTGGAACTTTCTCTGTAAAATAACATTTAGCAAAGTTGTGACCCAACGAGAGGGTTCAGGAAGTATTGGGTAGGAAGGTGCTGTTGCTTAAGAAAGTCCCTTTTTTTTTTTTTTAAGACTTGCATAGCAGTGTCTTTTAGATTTAACCATATTTGACTCAGGAAATATATTTAATTATGTTCTTTCTCTTAAATCAGTCTGACTGGAAATTTTGTTTAAGTTGTGTGTTTCTGCTTCTACTTCCCTGTCCCCCACAGAGGTCATGTTTCTGTATTGCGCCAGAAACTATCAATGAACTTAGTGAACTGTGCTGATAGTGGAAAGTTTTATCCATTCTTGCTTCCCACAGGAAATGCAAAATCTGCCCAGTGCTTTCTGTGGAAATGAGAGATGCATATTCTTACATAGCAGACCAAGATTTGTTGTTTCAAATAGAAGTTACTGGTGTAAATCACAAGCCCAGCTCTCTCAAAGTCATCCAGCTGTAATGCATCTTCACGTATGTAATGCATCTTCAAGTTTGCACGTATTGCATAGCAGTTTGTGGTTATAGTCCCACTATAATTTTGATTAGGAAACAGAAGTTTTATTTAAAAAAAAAAAAAAAGAGTTAGCTGTTATGGCAAGGGGGAAGGCTTTGGTAAAGTCTGAGGAAAAACGAGTTGTTGGGTTTTGTCTGGTTTTGTTTTCATGCCCTAGAAAATACTGCTTAAATTGAGTTGCTCTGAAAGGCACTGATGACTTCGGTGGGGTTCAGATTAGCTTCAGTGGTAGGTGAATCTGTGTTTACTATTAAATGATCAACCAGCTATGCAGGATTAGAAGAATTATCTATTCACTTAGATAAGTATGTGCAAAGGTATTTGTTGCAAAATGGTATCAGCAGCAAGCCGGCCTTAGTGTTGTTTTTTTGAACTATGAATCAAGTGGGTCAAGGTGTTTCTGAGCCTACAGGTTATTAAAAAATAACTTTGAATCTGGACCCACTTAAATGTATGGTGACAATGAAAGCAGTTACAAGCTCTCTTGCAACCTCTGTCCTCCCTCATGTTGAAGTTTGTGTAGGAAATGGTGTTTTTCTAATTACGTTAGAATTCCTTTGGAATATTTTCAAGGATTGATATCAGCATCTTTCAAGCCAGCTAAAAGCTTGGCCTGAGAATAATACACAATTACTTTTTTTCCTATAAAAATTGTTAGGGAGTGTTTCCTCCAGTTAAAAATAGCTGGCGTGAAAATTACAAATCTTAACCTGAAGCTGTAATCCTTTTTAATGCAGAGTATAGTGTCTTTATTACCAAGCCAGGGAATAAATGATCTGCACTTTATCAAAAAAGAGAAACCTGATCCATGGGTTGTTTGGGAAGTCCACACAGCTGATTTGGCATGCTAGCAGAAGCCTGTGCAACACAGCACGAAATGAGCCCCGCATGCTGCCCACGGATCTGACACATTGCTGTCTATATAAATATTCAGAGTAACTCCAAGACTATGCAGTTCCAGAAGCCATCACGTAGTGTATCTTAAAGGCAGTCTGGTGTGTCCTCATGTTCTCTTTCTGCCTTTGGAGAAGGGCAGTGATGGGGTGTTGAGAAGGGCCTCTGTCTACAAATGGCGTTAATGAGAGATGTGTGCAGTATGTGCAGGCCAGGGACATGCTGATAGTCATCTCTATATTGAGTGCCCCCCCATCATGCCTGACAAATATGAATGCTGCTCCTTGCAGGGAGTCCTGGGGTAAAAACATCCATCACAAAGAGGCTGTGACTTTGTTGGAGAGCAGGGCTGTGCTTGCCCAAGCAAAATGGGCTGTACTTGCACATCTGTGAGAGCCCTAGGTGACTGAAAGCTATTTCTTTCATGCATGTCCATTGGAAGTAATCAGTGGCTCCTACACAGCAATCCCTATTTGAGTTTGTTTATTCCTTCTGACTTTCCATTCCTTATCTTTTACAACACAGTCACTGACTCTTAAGACATTTGTACATACCAGAACCAGCTCTGTATGCTCTGCTCTTATCCCCTTTCACAGGTCACTTGCTTTTAGCAAGACAGGTTGCTGTTGTACTTTTCCTTTTTGGCATGCAGAAAGCTTTTCCCTTATGTGATTTTTGTTGGTTTGTTTTTTGGTGCATTCCTTTCTCTAGCAAGGAGCAAAATGGAGGCTTATAGCTACCTTTGGCACTCAGTTTAATTAAGTTGGATGCTGTTTCATTACTCTGGGTTCTCAGTGTTGCTCCATTTGAGATAGCTTGTATTTTACAGTATGCAGCAGCTAGATGTGAGTTCTGTCTCACATACTCTTTCCCTCACAGCTTGCTATGAATGGCAAGGGTCTCTGTAGTGCCAATGCTCTGCAGGTTCCAAGGAGAGGGGTGGGAGGGAAGGAGGAGCTCTTTCCTGAATCAAGAGGTTGTTTTCTGAAATGCTTGGTAGCCGGGAGCTATTGGAGCTACATGAGCAGGCAGAACCCAAAATAAAGGCTGTGTTAGGGGATTTTAGAGGTCAAGCTTCAACCTGAGCAGTGGGTATAAAAATGAATAAACGAGAGCTGGCCCTTTGATCAGCAAATCAGATTCCCTGGTTGTCTGTGGTTCTCCAGGCTGTAACTGCATGTTCTTAACCTTTTCCTTTGGCTTTTATTGTTATTTTGACACTGTTTTTCAAGTTTGGAAGTGCTAGTGATATCTTGTGTTCTCCACATGCAGAAGATGCTTGTTGTGCAGTGAAATCTCTTAGAACCAGCTTTCTCACGCAATGACAGCGCTCAGCAGAGCTGCAGAAGAAGTCACAGGGCAGCTGTTCCCAATGTGTAGTGATGGAGGATAAATGCAGCTCTCTGAAGTGCATTAGCGACTGTGAGCAAGGGGTTTCAGGTTGGATTGTGACGAGAACATTTTTATGATGAGAACTTTCTGCAGTTCTGCTACTGATGACAACAAATGTGATATTTTTTCCTGTATCGCAGAGCTTTGTCTGAGGCTCTGTCAGAGGCTCCAGTCCTACTTTCTGTAGGTTGTGGAGGAAGAAAATAAAGGCTTTGATTTCCTCCAACAACCTGGCATAGCTAGCAGTGTGTTGTGCCAGCGTGCTGCCTGCGTGCCCAAGATTGACTTCCAGGGGAATGTTGATAGCTAGAGACAGATGCAAGCTTTTCTGTCTGCCCTCCTGGCTGGTAATATGTAAGGCAGCTGAAAGCTATGCAGACGTGGTAGCATGACACCGAGCTCCAGACTCTCTTCCTTGCATCACAACAGAGGTAATTAGCTGCAGTGTGGCACCATGCTGATGCAGTGTCGGTGCTAGGCTGGAGTTTTTTGGGGTCAGGCCATCTGAGTCATGCACAGAGCAATTACACATACCTGTCTGCTGACATCTGTACCTTTACATGATGTTCAGACAGCGTGCTCTGTAGGGTGAAGGAGCATCATGCAGATGGATTGATTGAGGAATTGGATGGTGTCTATAGTATGTCAAAGAAACTCAATATGTACAGAAATAGGATGGACCACTGGAAAATATGTCCCTCTTCTTGTGATCTGTGGGTGTATGCTGAAATTAAATGAGACTAAAAACACCCCTGCAAATTTGTCTTTGCCTCCTACACTGTTGAGGCTCCTGTTTCCAGTTAATTAAAATTTTTAAGAGATTGCATTTTGTTTTTGGTTGCCTCTTGGACTGCTGTCCCACAGTAGTGAGTTCCTAGCAAAAGATCCACATACCAGGCAAAGTTCTGTGCTTGACAATAACAAGTGTGTTGATAGCTGAGGTATTTTTAATATGATTTAATTATATATCTATGATTCAATGTGAAATACTATTTAAATATAAGTTCTTGAATTGCCTTTGAAAGTCTGGCACTCTGCAGTTTTGATTACTGACAAACACATTTGTCTCATCTCAAGATGCTGCAGAGACCAAAGTACATACTCAGCTTCGTGCCACCCTCTGTCATTTTACTTAATGAGTAAGACAGCTCTTGATACAGTCTTGACTTCCTCAGGACATCTTGTACCTCACAAAATTAGTCAAGTACATAAGCTCAGGGCTTTGGCACACTTGATGCTTGTCTGGATAATAGTATAAACAGCTCTGGCGCTCTAAAGTTACTCTGATGGTCAGTATCAGCTGAGTAAACCTTAGTGATTAATTTTGAAGCTGAAAAATTGTCTAGCAGGTGGACACAAGAAGAAAGAGAGCTCTAGGCAATTGGCTGCCATGACTCATGAAAATTCTTGCCCTCCATTAAGTTGAAAACCTGTTTTATTTGAAGTATTGTGGTTATGAACAGCTTAGATTCATTCGTCCCCCAAAAAATGAACAAAGTGCATGGCATACTATGTGTGCACATTGCTTTCTGAATTCATCACAATCATCACCCTAATTAATAACTTTTCAGAATAGAGCTGAACTCTGTGAAATAAGTCTCAGCAACAGGACAGTTAACAAATTATTTTTGATTTTTGAATTGCATTAGGGGGAAGACTTGACTTCCTTTCCTCCACTTTTCGCTGGAGATTGGGGTGGGGGGAAGCTTAAGAGAGCTGTATTTTCTTGTTCTGCTTTCAGCAGGACAAAGAATTTGACAGCTCCGTAAATGGAGTTTTCTGTCTCCTGTTGCTCAGTGGTTCTGTGACATTCAATTAGGGTAATTCCTGAAGATCTTATGGCCTGATGTGCATCTTTGTTCTTAGAAGAACAGAAGTGAAAGCAAAATGCACCTACTGATACTAATAGTATCAGTAATAGATACAGTAATGAGGAGGGAACAAAGGTTTGGCTGTGCCTAGCAATAAGCACCTCTGATGTTAATCCACACCACATAATATGCCTTGTTTAAGGAACAAGGACATCAAATCCCCTAAATACAACTGATATCATGAGGCCACCAGCTTTCTGTGCAGTCAGAGTGCGGACCTGTGGAGTTTATTAGCATCTTTCCAGTTTTGAAGGAATGGAAAATCCTTCAGTAAATGGAAAAGTACCTGTCAGTCTAAAGCCCCAGTGTGAGGTTCAGAGAGGCAATTAGTTCTCAAGGGCATTGCCTAATTAGGTGATAGATTGATGGTGGTAGATATGTTTCTTTCTCTGTGATGGCTTTGGCATTCTTTTTACTGGAAAAAAAAATACACTATGTGTGAGTTGTTTTGTTACCTAAACAGAAGTATGTTACAAGGTGAATTTCAGTGTTCTAGGTGAAAATTAGTTGTATATTGTTTTTCTTTAAGCTTAATGAAAAGGAAGGTAATTGGTAATCAAGTCAGGGACTGTCCAGTCCACTTTGATTGGTGCAAACACAAGTGCAATTAAATTCCTTATTGATATTCAGTGTAATAAAGCCTTCTGGAGCCATCTCAAATTTTGCTGCAGAAGTGAAATTAATGAATCAAATTTCCTCTTGTTACCAGCTGATTCATAGTAATGAAATCATGATAATTTTTTACATATATCAAAATATTTTTGAAAGAAATACTTAAGTAGACAAATTTTTGCATGTTTTCTTCATGCATATTTGCTTTCTCTGAAGGAGCTAATATTTTAGCTGCTGCAGAGAAGGATATAGCAGATGAAATCCTGGAATGTAAACTGTGTGAAGTGACAAGTACACATATATAGGAAATTGTTTGCTTCTCTAATGATATGCATATTTATGTATGTTTTTTCTCCTCTTGTGTTTTCTAGATGGTAGAAATGAAGTGCAGAAGGAAAGAAACTTGAGAGAACTCCTTAAAGAACTGCCTGATGCTCATTACTGCCTGTTGAAGTATCTGTGCCAGTTCCTGATAAAAGTTGCTGAACATCATGTAGAGAACAGGATGAACCTTTGCAATCTTGCCACTGTGTTTGGACCGAACTGCTTTCAGTAAGTTGGGTTTTTTACTTTTCCCTTTATGTTGATAGAAAGTAATGAAGCAGATAATGGAAGATGTAGCTGAGAACCCTAACAACAGAATGACCAAACAGAGGCACTGTCTGCAGCTTTCTGGTAATTTTTGGTGCTTAAGCTAATATTTGAGCTGACAGGGAATTGAGTTGTTCTCTCATCTCCTCGTGCAATCTTGTACAACAGTTAGCAAGTTTTCCTGTGCTCTGTTGACAGCAGATCAGGTGTATACAATGGCTGGCCTCCTGATTGTTTATGGGCAAGGAGACTTGTGCTCTTACAGCTTTCTTCCTTTGCCATTGAATAATATGGATGCTTCTCTGCAGAAGGATTTGAGGAAGGTGCTTATAGGGGAAAAAAGGTCTTGGATGCAGCACTCAGGTGCTGTATGCTTTCTAGCTCTGCTGATTTGTGAACCTGTGGTTGTCTTCAATACCAGATATAAAGTGAGGGCTCTTTATCATTCTAGTTTATTTTGAAACTGGTCTAGAAGTTGTGGGGAAGCCGTGGCCTTCTGAGACTTTTTACTGGATTCACTAGTCCTACTGGTTTCTTTCAAAGGGCTCAGTTTCTTGCTGTTTCTGTTGAAGATGATACACTGTATATACTGGTGGGGTTGGAAGCAGTATCAGGAAGAACTATTTCCAGATGTGAGAATGCACTCAAGTAAGATTGTAGCCTCCAGAAACAGGCTTCTTTAAAGAGAGAGAAAACAGAAGGTGGATTCCTAGTAATGTATTGAGCCAGTTCTACATAGATGCTGCTTGCTCTCTTCTTAATGGAGCACATTTTTTTTAAAGGAGCACAGATTTTTCTATTGAGTGGGGAGAGAGACTACAAAGATGAGACTGAAACCAAAGCTTGTCCTTTTGACTATACTTCCACCTCATCTTTCTCATAGATGATGAAGATGACTGTGTCAAGATATGAGCATTAAAGCATTTGCTGTCTTAATATAAAGCCATAAAGCATATTGTGGGAGGAAAAAGAAGTCTTCCCCTCCAAAAGAAAGGAGACTTGAAGACAGCAGTGTATACAGGCATGTACAAGTAGAAGAGTTAGTGGAAACAGTGCTATAGATTTTTGAGGATAAAAAAGTAAGCTTTTAAAGATCACATTTGTATGAGCAGGCTTATTTACACATGATAGAGTTCTGAAATTAGGGAGTTTCCGTCTAGATGTATCTGTGGGCTTAGGTTCATCTCATTTAATTTGCTTGTTCCTGATTCTAGTGGCTAAATCTCTGTGATTTGAACTCCCAGGTGGCTATTTGAATAATTGTTACATTACTCATCACTTGGTTGAGGAAAGTTTTGAAAATTAGCTCTGCATGCTTTTTGGCGTAGAATGTGGAGCCCTGCAGTTCGGAAGTGCAATTGGCTTTCTTAAGATTAAACCATACTTACTAAAAGCTGTATAGTTGTTGTCTTAGTTTATCTCTGCTCATAGGATTGCATAGAAAAGGCTCAACAGTTTCTGTAAGGTATAGGCCTGTGTGTAAAAGGCAAAGAATCACATCATTCCATTTCAGAAGACTGGGAAAGGCAGAGTTCACATAAGACTGAAGGCACAAGGTCTCGTGTGGGTGTATATGAATGCAGCCAGCCCTGCAGTTGTGATGCATCAGAATGCATGTGCAGCAGAAGAGGCAAGAACTTAACACATAACAAATGAGTAATGTACTTTTACAAGATCCAAATATTTCAGAATGCCGGATGTAGAATTTTGTTTAAGCTCCACCATCTGGTAATTCAGCTGTGTGTTTTACCAGATCTTGATCTTTTCTAGGCAATTCAGGATTGTGGTCTAGACACATTTGTGAGCAACTGCTGAAATGCCCTTTTCTCCTGTGTTAATGAATGCATTCTTAAATTGATGATACTGTGGCCAAATCAACAAAGATTTGCCAGGAGGGGGAAAGGATTTGTAGCACCCAACTTTCAGTGTTGGGCTTAAACTGCTGGTTAGCTACACATCTGGAGAGGGATCTTCAGAATGTAGTTCAGAGCAAGTCTATCTGAAATCTGCCTTTGCAGGGGCTGTCTTACCATTGACTACAGGCATTTCCTAGAGAGATTAGCTGAAGAAATGGAGTATGAGGTGATTGAACCGAACTTTAACTTTGCTTCATTTGTTCAGAGCAGTGCGTGGAGTGTTTTGCTGGAATGAGGATATAAGGCTTAGCAGCCAACAATTGTCAGCAATTGCATTGCTGACAATCAGAGAGGATAAAGTCCATCTTGCCTTCTACAGGATGTTCTTAGTGACATTTTAGCTATTTAGGTATATTATTTTTCACTCAGTAACCAAACTTTTTTTTTTACAGTTGTATAAACCTCACAATTGGGCAACTTTCCAAACAGTTAGACTTTATTTCAGTTCTCTTCATCTCATTCATTTTCTCTACATCGACTTGTCAGTATTTTTGTCTAAATTCCAAAACTTTCAGTCTTATTCATCATTTCTCCTGCTTTTTTATTTGCTGTTTGGTAAATCAAACTTACGTTCTTCTAATGAAAGGTTATCTTTTCTGTATTTATAATGAATGGAAGAATGGAGAAAATGGCTATTTGCAGTCCTTGCAGTGAAGTGTGATGTAAAATATGGGAAAACATAAAGGACAAGGTCTGACAGCTCAAAAAAGGAAAATGTGATGATTTGAGATTTAGTGCACTGTTTTCTCCCAACTTGGATTTGTTCAGATTTATTGTTGATGGAAGCCAGAGAAGTATTGACCTTGAGAGACTGCAAGCATGGGAGAACATTAATTATTGGCTTTTCTGTTATTGGCCTAATCTGTGTGGAGGATTAGTGCTTGCACTGTGGCTACTCTTGGAGAAAGATGTCTGTTGACCCAGATTTCATTCCTTGTACAGCCATATCCGTAGTATGGCCTGCTATGTGTCTCTGTTTTGCTCTCACAGTTAGCTGGTCCTGCACTACTTCTTCAACACTGAGTTCTCTCTCCTTCTATCTCCTCTGTTGAGTCTGGGTGTCAGGGAGGCCATATTCCTGTCCTTTGACTAGATTTGTATAAGAGGTATGAGGCCCATCAGTTATGGAAAAAACAGAAAATTTCTTTGCACCGTTTTGTTTGTTGTTCTTTTCAGCTCTCTCTCAAAGAATGATGTGTGTTTGTTGCCTCTGTGATTGAGGCTTTCACTGGCATAATGGTATTTCATTCCAACAGAAGTGTGATGTGAAGGTTTGCTCAGCTCCTCAAGAGGGGCTGGCAAATGCATGTATCTGATTCAAATCCTGCTGTTTGCTGTGTAGCAGTTGGATGATGATATAAAGGCCTGGGAGATTTGCTGATTCGGGCTGCAGAGGGCAAAGTATCTTTAGTGATGAGGGGCTTTCCTCTCAGTGCTCCCCTGCAGAGTTCAAGCATTTTGTCTGCCCACTTATCCTCCACATCCCCTCGCTCTGGTCAGCAAGGAAGAAGGTCATGGAGTACAACTTGTGGAACTGTGGCAGAAAGAAAATGCTGCGGATCAGTTGTGCTTTGGAGATACTTCTTTTCCCAACATCAGAGTGAATGTTCCTTCCAAAGTAATGCAACTTAAATGCACTGCTTGCATTGCATCCACCAGTGTTGTTCCTTTGAGTGGTGGAAATATAGTACTCTGCTTTGATGGCAGAACAAGGATTTCAAGGATTTCTGTTACAAGGATTTATAATGTTGGAGTATTTCTATCTTTTTTCCTACAGAGACTTTATGAGGAGGAGATTGCAGAGAAGAGCTCTTTGCACCTACCTGAATCCTTACTGGTTTGGGTTGAAAATGGTTTTTCTCCAGATCTTGGTTCAGAATTAAGAAAGCATACACTCAGAATTTAAGTGGAGGAGCAGTTTTACAGGAAAAACAGCAATAATATTTTTACACTTTGTCAAATTATGGCCTTGGTAAAGTTTCTGTTCAAGTCTTCCTTCCACTAAGCTGTTTTCTTCTCACTCTCACATCTGTATTGCAGCTACAGTTTTTGTACTGAGATAGGTCTGGAAACAAAATGCACATTTTCTTGCATCTTGTCCTCCTGGCTCTCATACAGGGGAGCACATCCAGTCATATGAAGCAGTGGGCCATTCAGAGCTACTTCCCCCACTTACTGCCAACCTTAGCTCTCTGTGCTAAACCGAATGGTATTTGAGCTCCATACAGAAATGCTTCCCAGGAACATTTTTGAAACACCTCAAAAATTAGGTGAAGAAATGCAGTATATGTTATGGAGTCATCTTAAGCTACAGAGACCTTGACTAACTGTTCTACTCAGCATGTGGATTTTGTCATTTTTCTGACTAATCATATACCTTTGAAATCATCACAGATCACTTCCCTAAGGAATCTGACCCTTTCCATTAACCGTTCAGAGAATTTGAATGCCTCATATTGTTTGTGCCTCACTCTTAGAACCAAATTTTAACAAAACTGGTGGTATCTCGTTTGGAGGTTGTCTCAATTAGATCTCTGCCTAGACTATGTGGATGGAGTAGATTGTTTGACTATGTATGGGAACACTTGAATCAAGCCTGAACCTCTGATTGATCACCTGAGGCAAGCACTGAGTTAGCCATGGGAGCACAGGTGAAGGCAATTCAGCTGTGTGACTGAAAGGGGTGGAGCCTGGCTGCACCTCTCCTAGACCCCATTTAAGGGCTGGCACTGAAGAAGGATCTCTCTCTGGAGATTGCTCCTTTTAGAGTTTTTGTTGTGAGCCCAGGACACAAGTAAGCTTTTTCATTCATTTCCAATTATCCCTTACTAATTATCCCTTTTCAATGTGATAATCTTTCCAGCTATATGCTCTCTAAAGACTGGCCTAGCTTCTCTGTGTACTTGTTGATTATAAATCTGTATACTTGTTGGTTATCCAGACCAACAGATAGAGAAGTTGATATTGCACAGAAGAACTGCAAACAAACCATAATAGTTGTTACCACTATGGATGTGTTTCTTCTCTACCAGACAAAGTTTCCTCTGCCTGCTACCCAACCCGTATCCACAACAGAATCATTACATAAATGCTGGGCAGAAGCATTTCCCTTTTGAGTATCTAACGTTCTGCTTCAAATTCTGTCCAATTTTAGAGTGCCCTCTGGATTTGAAGGTATAAAAGAACAAGAGATCTGCAACAAGATAATGACTAAAATGCTGGAGAGTTACAATACCTTGTTTGAACTGGAAGGTTTGAAGAAGGAGGAAGAAAAGCCAGTATGTGAAGAGCTAGCAAGAATTATTTTGGTTAAAGTGAGTATCTCTAATCCTGTACTTTCTTATAGCAAATCAGTAGCGTAGGCTCATGCCTGCTTCATTTCAGAAATCCGTTATGTAAGCAGTAGGTAGACACTGTCATGATGGTGCTGGATGTTAATAATTGGTATACAGTATTACCCATTGATCCAAGGCCAATTTTTATTTTATTATCCAATTATTACTAATTGGAAAGTTGTTTCTATTTAAGAGCTTTAGAATAGAATGGTTCAGTTGCAAGGGTCCTTTAAAGATCATCTAGTCCAACAGCCTGACCACTTCAGAGTTTACCAAAAATTAAGCATCTTATAAAGGACCGAACAATAACTGAATGCTGACAGCCAGATGACATCAACCACCTCACTAGGAAGCCTGTTCCAGTGTTTGACCACCTTTTCAGTAAAGAAAGTTTTCATAATGTGCAGTCTGAATGTCCTCTGATGCTGCTTTGTGCCACTCCCCTGTGTCCCTTCTCTGTGTCAGTTCTCTGGGAGAAGAGCCTGGCACGTCCCTTTGCTTCCCTTACGACATTGCACAGAGCAATGAGGTTACCTTTCAGCCTTGTATTCTTCAGACTGGACAGTCCAAATGTCTTCAGCCTCTCCTCATAGGTTATACATTCCAGCTAGTCAAGTGAAATCAGCTGAAATCTTTAGTATCTTTACAGGATGTTCTAAGATAGTCTACTGAATTATAATTACAGGGCAATCTTTACAAGTCACACTAGCTGCCTCCAGGAGAATTCATTGTTTTCTCATGATGAACCAATGAGGAAAGAGTAAACCTGTTAGTCTTTTAGCTGTTGCTAGCATTCATGTAAAATCCTTTCATGGAAGGAGATAAAATGGCTGATGACTCTTGCAGTGCCCTCCGTAATGTTTTTTACTGAAGATACAGTGACTTCTGGGTAATGGAAGTGATCTGTGGCATATGAAAGTTTAGCTGCTGATTGTCACTTAAGAAACAAAACTAGGTTAAAAAGAAAGTCATTTAAAAAGCCAGCGTACTTTAAGAAGCCCAGTAGAAGGGCTTTTCAGGTCCTTTTCTGTCTCTTTCAAGTCAGTTGCAAAAGTCAAGATAATCTTTCACTTCTGAGGGCTTATAACTGATTGAAAATGCACAAAGACCTTGGTGATTTCCCGCAGTAGTCATCAGAGGGTATGGTGACAACCAGAATTGCTCCAATAAAATCGTCTGAAAGATAAAGTTACTCAAATGAGATGAAAAATGTTGCCCAGCTCTTTGCTTTGGAAGAGAGAGAGTGGAATGAGCCATACTTTAAAAACAAGGGCTTGCATTGTGCTCGTGTTTTTGGGTCTTCCTGATGATTTCCAAATCCTGCTGGCAGCCTGCTATAGTAATGTCACTGTGTTCCTTGTCCATGTCATTTGGATGAGTTTTCTAGCTTAACCAAGACAAATATTCAAACACAAGAAATACAAGCATCTAATTTTATATAGCAAAGTGCTTGTTGAGATGTGTCAGATGGCTCTTTGAAAGAATGTTTTATACCATTCCTAAATGTTTCTTTTCTTGTATCCTAGCAGATATCCCTCAGTCTTGCCAATTTGTATAATGAATTAGAAATAGCGGACTGAAGGAGAAAAAGAAGTGGCAATAAATGAGATTCAGGAGAGAAAAGTGATTGCCAGCTTGCTAATGCACGAACTGTTCTGTATAGTAGGAGCCAGCTGATCCATGTCATAAAGAACAAGTACTTCAGAAAATTATTGATGTGACATGGGTCACTGTCTAAAAATAGCAGGTAATTTATAAGGAAAGTTATTCTTAAGAAACCATTGATGAATTTATATTTTCAAGTAGTTAAAGCTGTTCCTGTTGGAAGGAATAAAAGATGTAGGATGCTCAGGAATACACTTCCATAAACTGAGGCCTTATTGATTTTTATGGGTTTCACATTGAAGCATGAACTGTGATGGAATGGAGGAGCAAAGAGCAAGGAGAGGGAAAAAAATGAAGACTCATTACCAAGCTCAGCTGCGTTTACCTAAGTGTCTTTTTCAGCTTTTATATTGTGAGCTGCAGGAGGGTGAGGAACTTGCTTTCTCCCTTCTGGTCCAGCAAGGATATTTGTCACTCTCCCACCCCCAGATCACTTGTTGTATTGCCAGGGTTTCATCTTGAGTTGCTGTACTGCTACTTTTCCTATGACTGCCTGTACTCTCTCTTCTTTCTTTCTTTCCCACGTTTACATTTTTGTCCTTAATTTTTGCAGACCTGTCCCACTCTTATTTCTGTACTCAAATCCTGTTGACCCTTTTTTTTTCCCACTCCAGGGGAAAGGCTGGCAATCAGAAGTACATCTCCAGTCCCTGCACATGCATGCTGTAGTCTATCCACAGTCTGTATTTATTTGTGATCTTATTCTTTATTTTCTTTAATGTGGAGATAGCTTTTTGTCTGGGTTAGTATGACTGGTGATTGTGGTATGGTGACCTGTATATGTAATAGGGAGCTAGAGTTTAATGAGACTTTGCATTGGCAAACATTACTGCCTCTTTTTTTTCTGGAATCCTGCTTTTAATCTTACCCAAAAGGGTCTCAAAATGGAGATGGAGATACTTAAAAGAAGAAATCATATTTTACGTTGTTAAAAGATTTATTTACGTTGTTAAGAGATTTATATTGTTATGGTCAAAGCCATCCGCACTGATCCAGGTGCGTTCTTCATTGAGAGTTTGAGAAGAGCAGCTTGAACCTTGCAACTTGTTGTACAGGGAGAAGAATGCCATGAATTCATAGAGGGGTTATCTTGAATCAAAATTTTAAACCCAGTAACAGTGGCTTAAAAACAAACAACAAAAAAAAGAGATGAAAAACTTAACAAAATCTACTTCTTTAAACTGTCTGGTATGCCTTTCCAGTGTACTGGGTTACAATAGTAGCCCTGCTTTTGCTAACCTCTTTTTTTTTTTTTTTTTTAATGGCTGCAGACTCTGGTGTTAGTGTCTAAAAGGATTGTGAGATTGTTATTTCTCCTTGAGTTCTCTGTTGTCATCAAATCATCCCCTTATGTATTTTTTTTAAAGCTATCATCAGCCCTAAACCATGATAGTACAAATACCTAAAATCATTGCATCCCATCCCAATATGGGAATGTATTTCCCCTCTTACCCAGTGATATTTACCACCTTCCTGAACTGGCATGTCTTTTGACACCTCATGATCTACATATCTTAAGATTTTCTCACACTTTGCAATGAAATCAGTGGATTTCTTCAATGAAGTGCATCTCTTTTAAAATGTAATCCAGAACATGTGCAGCATGCAGGCAAAGTCATGAAAGCCTCATACTCTGAGCAGTGTCTTGGGAAGGAGAAGCAGCACTTAAGTGGAGCACGTTACCTCTTGTTTACTGAGCTGGTCATGGCCAGGGGAAATCCACGGTGTGCTACATCACACCAGTTTCAAAGATTGCTCAGTCACTGGGAAAGACAAACGGTGCCAGTTAAAGGGATTTTTTGCTCACTTTCTCACTGGATCATAGTTCAAAACATAAGGGAGCAAGAAATTTCTGCAAGCTGCCTTCCAGCCCCTGCTTTGTTCCCAGGACTGTAAAACCTCCTCTAGCTCATTGTCCAGGCATATGGTAATATTATAGCTAGAAGTGCTGGGCAGCTTTTATTTGGAAACCTCTATTTAAACACAAAACAAGTACCACTTTCACAAAATGACATGCATCTTGGAACAGATCCTGTTTCCCTGGGAAATTGAAATGTGAGGTTCCTGATGAGTGTGTATGTGTGTATATATTTAATGTAGCAGGTTTCATTTGTAGCTATCTATCTTTTAAAGAGTATCTTCCAAACTTCAATTTAATTTCCAGACCCAGTGAAGGTCTGGAAGATTCTTAGGCTATTGATTGACAGGACCTACTAATTAGAAATAGGTGGAGAAGTGGGTTGAATGTTCTGATTAGCTATCTGCTCAGTGTTGTGTTTTCCTGATCTTGAAGGATCATAAATATTTTTTTATTGGGCAGAGCCAGGTGTGATCTATTTATTTTCTTAATATATCTGGACTGCTGTGGACTTATCACATTGTAAGTTTCAGTGTATCATGATAAAATATTTATGATATGCTTCAGAGCAGAATTCCTGCTGTGTTCAGTTATGGTCCCAAAGGGTTTTGGTGGCACTGAGCTGAGCAGTAACTTAAGTAATTAAAAATCAGTCAGTTCTGAGTTGCAGAAAGGCTGACTTTGTCATCTGCTTGAAAAAATTGCTTGAATTGATTGATCTATCTACAGCAACAATACAAATAATAATTTTGCACTGTGACCTTTCATTTCCAAATAATTTTAAGTTCTGTTCAAACTGCAACCACTATACAACCATAGTCCTCTATTGTGCACCTAGACAGTGTTGAACTGTTACATCTGCAACAAAATAAGACTTAAGAGTAGCGCCAATACTTTTACTCATTAATGATCAAAGCTAAGTGGTGAAAGGGATTACTTTTAGTTAAGTGTCCAGAGGAATCTAGACAGGCTGAGTATTATGAGACTCTTGAGAGATTTCTGGAATTACCACTTTCACAGGTGCCAAGTAAAATGTAGTACCATTTGGGTCAGTATTGCCTTAGAATAAAACATACAACCTCTTATATTGTCATTCAGTGTTATAGGGTTGCATTTTTTTTAACCTTTCCCTCTAATGCCTTCTTGACAGAATACCTTTTAATTTTAAGAGGTAGTCAGCTGACAGCACGTGATTATTTGCACTGGGAAACAAAAACCAATGTGATGAGGATGTAATGCTGCTCCCGGCTTGATTACCTATTTGGGAAAGGAATGCAAATAAGTCCATTTATAAAATTAAATTTATAATTCCATATAACTTTAGGGCTGCCCTGCACTCACAACAGACTCCCTTTTCTGCCACCTCAGTGCTCTGCTGCTATGGTTATACATGCAGCAAACTGAGTGATCTCTTGTTTATGTCATGAAAAGAGGCACCTGCTTCTAATCAGTGTTA